ACCAAACATTTAAATATCTGACAAACGTTGTTCTTTGAATTTTAAACTTCTTTAAGTTTTCTGAACACAGTACTTATTTACTAGACATTTTAAAACCCGCGAGCTGAAAAAACCTTACCACTTATATAAACACCCTTAATGTATAAAAAACTACCGCAGTCACATAATTTCATTTCACCCCAAACTCACTTTTGCGGCTTACGCTTTCAATCGAATCACGGCCTCGTTACAAAACACTCATTTCCCTGTTTGGCTGTCCATTGTATTAACCCTTTCGCTTGATTTCACTTTCGCCCTTCTCAACATTCGAGATTTGATATTTTTCATTCATTTATCATGATTAATATTTCTATTATTTTTTATCATGAATAATTATTGTTTCTCCTAAACACCTGATTTCATTAATGCAATTGTTCCAAAGTAATGGCAAGTTCACGTTTACTCATTTAGAAACATTTTTTTCGGATGAAATTGAAAATCAATTGTTTAAACAGCACACCCATTTCAAGTGTCAGTTTCATCTCATATTTTGTATAAAACCAAATGATAAATAATATAAGTACTTTCAAAAGTCCCGGAAAAGGTAATGACTTAAAGATGTAAATTATGATGTTCGCTTTCTTGCTTTTTTACATCTCTCATTTATTTTGTAGTATGTTTATTAGCTGACACAGTAAATTAATTACAATTATTTGTAACAAAGGAAAAAGGAAAAAGGAGCAGCCAATCAAGTAGAAGGAAACGGGCAGTAACACAGAATATATTATAATAACTGGTTAAGCTTTAGACAAAAACTCACCTTCCTGTGCGTTTGTTATATTCAATTTCTTTGGCTGAAGGTTAAAAAAATACTTTACCGAGAAAGTAGTGTTCTATTGCTATGAACTGATGCTTTGGTGAACATAAGCTGCATTGATATAAGTTTGACTTCGCCCAGAAGAAATGTAGTAACTGTGGTGTCTATATGAGCACCATTAAACGGAAGTTGTTATCACCTATGCGGAGAAGTCTAAGGCATTAATCATCCTTTTGCTTTTTTATCAAAAATCCTGCAATCATTTTTATCGCATACAATTTTTTTAAGACACTACTTCATCCTACAAATTTGTTGTGAAAATTTATTACGTACCCAACTAGTCTAGGTTCAGCAGGAATTGGCTTTATTAGTTTGAAAGTTTTATGGCATTAAGTGTTTCAATAGAATTTCTAACATGTGGTCACCGCGAACGCATTTTATAAAGACTTGTTAGTCGATCAAATTTTTAAATTTTCCTCTCTTCACTATGTTATGCTGGTTTAGTACTCATAGTGCACTCATAAAATTAAATCAAAACAGTTGAGCTATGTGCCCATATGAATCAATCACTAAAATATTGTCTTAATAAAGTAAAGGTTGCGCTGTATGGCTTGTTGGTACCGCCCTGCTAGAATCATCGAACACTTACACGTTTAATATTGATGTAAGGAATCTAATAGTTAGAGAAAACTGCCAGTAGTTTAATAAACGGTCTGGTAATAAATTTTCTGGGAACAAAGCAGCTTGTAGAGTGCCTTCCGGATTATGCGCATTTACAAATATAGCTCTTATGCTATTTTATATGTTCGTGAAGCCTGAAATTAGAAGATATTTTGAGGGTAAAAATTTAAATATATGTTATATGGTAGAGTAAACGAGTTCTTGAAACTATATTTTTCGATTTCTAAATGCTTTTCCGGTGCAAATTGCATGCTAATTGGACGAAATTTACTTAACACACATGCCAAAAATATGTGTTTATTTTGACAGCTCGTTTGATAGCTAACCCTCTAGGCAGTTATATGTTTCTTACAAACAACCGATCTGTAAAAATGGTTAATATATAATTTTGCGTTGAGCATATGTTCAGCGTATGTAGATTTATTCTATGATTGTAGATTTATTCTAACATTAATGCCTTATAATAATATACCAAATCCGTGAATCCCATACAAATTATGTTTTCTCTATACGCTAAGCCATGGTTTTGGAGAAATTCCACGACGTTCGGGATTAAAAAATGTAAATATAATTATTTATAATATTTATGCTGTGTCAAGATTTTAGTATCAAAAAAATTTAAATTAGTAATCCGTGCGTTTGTCCAAAAAAAGGTATACGAATACTAATGAAATCGGTAAGCAGATTTAATAATTGAATAAAACTAGCACTAAAATTAAATTCAAATAAATATTTGCATAAATTAAACGAAATAACTTTTAAGAGTACACATGTATAAAATATACTAAATATATATATACGAATACATAAAAAATGCAAATCAGTGTGAATGGTGAATTATTAAACAGTTACTGACCACTCATCGCCTTAAATTAAAAATGGTGTGCGAATATCGATAAAAACTTGATATACATAAGCAATAAAAACTTTGCTCGATATTAATATTTATTAGTGTGGCTTCTGGTGACATGAAATCGACATCGGTCGTAAAATTAATCAATATTTAGCAAATCTTCTTGTAAAAGATATTTATACAAAACATTTATATCATCTTTTTCACATAAAGCAATTATGTATGTAACATAAAAATCACACCATAGCAATACACACATATGTACCATATATATATTCATACATATTTACTAGCTTTAGTTAACGATTTGAATGATTAAGTTGCCAAACGCGTGGCCACTGCTTTAAATGACAGCTGAAGCTATCAATTTTGATTAAGCTAAAGTGAGTGTTTAATTATTTTTTCAACTTAGCATAATCATAATTTTAGTTGTCTTTTTTTGTTGGCTTTGAATTATGCTATTTCTTGACTGCCGTTGATGTTTTCGTTGGCAAATAAAATGCGTGCTTGATTTATAATTAAACCAATAGGTATATGTGTAGTTATTTCACGCCACTGTAGCTAAAACCGTTTGTAGGTCAGTGACGCTACGATTTATTTTCGTTTATTATTATTTTATATTTTTTATGTTTGCATATAGGTAAATACATTTAGTAGATTCATAATTTTTTTTCCTTCATGTATTTCTACTTCATTAACGTTAATTTAATAATGAATATTGCCTTAATTGGAAATTGAAAATAAACCAGTTTCTTATTGTTTTTCAATTTATAATTAAAATCAATCAACCTTTTTAATAAGTAATATATATAACATATTTTACATATTCTTCTTTTTATGAAAGTATAAATTATCGGATGAGATTTTTGATTATTAAGATAAATTTTAAAATTAATTATAAACAAGAAGATTGCACCGAAATCATAATAATCTTCACAAATATAAAATGTTCCATAAAAGTATTTAATTATAATCGTTCAGTTTGTATGACAGCAATGTGCAATAGTGATCCGATATCGGCGGTTTCGACAAATGAGCAGCCTTTTGGGGTGAAACGAACGTGTGCAAAGTTGCAGATCGATATCGCAAAACTTGAGCAACTAATTCGCGTATGGGCATTTATATATATTTTATAAGGTCTGATAATACCCTTTACCTAAAACGAAAACGAAGTTGTTAATAGGATATATAAGAGATTTATATGTTCATCAATTTGCAATATCTGTTTGATATTTGTCCAAATTTAGTTCGCTATATTCTTTATTAGAATACCTCTGGCATAACCTGGTTCTTCTGAATTTAAAGTTGACACAATTGATGGCATGTAATTTAAAGCTAAGTATCCTATAAAGCTGAGGGACATGCCTTATAGCGAGGAAAATTGTCTATCTGCAGAAAACATACTGTCGTGTCAGTGAAATATAATCTATTTTTTTAACTTTCTTTTTTATAGAAACGTAATAAATAAGTTATGGTTTTAGATTACATTAGATAACGACTAGTAAAGAGAACTATACTAACAAGCAATATTTTATAAATTTGTAAGATAAAACTTCAGTGCTTTTAGACTTTTTTGCAGAAACTAAATAATGCAATATTTCTTATTTTGTTATAAGGTCTTGAAACGTTGTATTTTTAAGTCTGCGTCTGCTATTTCTAGATTCTCCTAGTTTTCCTCCTTTATGAGTGCAATTTCTCACCGTGCATCAGCAAATTGTCAAATATGCAATACAATATCCCCTATTTCGGCTGTTTCTGTCTTACGGCTAATATCCAGTTCTCTCTTACAGATTCAGTCCATTAAAATTTCGCTAAAAGCAGGTATAATCAGATCTCATATTTGGCATAATGACTGCTAAAAGCGGCTCCAATTCACTTTGCAAGAAGTTGTGAAACCTCCTGAAATGTGGATTGAACTCAACAGTCAGCCCTAAATCGCTATTTAATCTTTAACATATTTCCAGTTAAGTGTTTTAACTGAACTTAAACATTTCAATTTGTGTAAAAAAATGAAAGAAAACAAAATCAGCTAATCACCACCAAATCGTGGAGGATGCAATTGTACAAATAACACACGATTATGTTAGTTGCCTGTGGCGAGGTGTTGATTTTTCATCGCTAAGTCATTTCTTGCTCTACATATTTGCAGATGAATCTTATTAGCAATAAATTCATTAACTTTTGTTATTTTTTCACCTCTGTTTTTGGAAGATTTTCTTGTTGCTTTGAATTTCTTGTAGTTAGTCAAACTATTAATCGCTGAAGGCAACGGCGCTGTCTTCACGCACAGCCGTGGTGCCAAAATAATAGGGCTGACTTAAGTCAACTAGACAAAATCTGCACACATGAAGTGGCAATTTTCATATGAATATAATATATGTCGTTGTGTGAGCGCGTGTACAACTTGCTTTGTATTAGTTGTGTTGAATTAGTCTACGGAAGGTCAGCGGCGCGTGATTTAAGTCTAATTTTTAGACACCTCTCGATAATTATTTGTTGTACAATTTTTTTTTTTGATATTCTGAATTTTATGTTTATTTTGTTCGCTTTCGGTGCATCGCGTTTTCTTTCGTCCGGCGCAGAGTTTTCAATGTCATTATTAATTTGTTTAGTTTTCATATTTTTGGTGTATAAAAGTGGAACGAATTCAATGTTTAGACATCAAAATCAATTCGTTATTCATAGCAAACAGTTAAACAGGAAACAACAAAAATGGTTTGTGGAAATTATATACTTAAGTTATAATAAATTTAAAAAAATTAAGAAAAATTTATTTCGGATAAGCGAGCTTAAAGAAATTAAAAAATATATATAAAAATATAAAAATCAAAAATAAAATTTTGTTAAAAAATAAATACGGAAAAATTAATTTCGGATAAGCGAGTTTAAAAAATTCCAAAAAAAATTAATATCCGGATAGCGCAGATTAAAAAAATCTAAAAAGGTTGAAAAGTTGCAAAACTTTATTAAAACCAAACTTACAAAATTGTTAAAAAAAAATTATACTCAAATATAATAAAATATAAACTTTTGTCAATAGTAAGAAATTTTTGGAAAGTAATTTTTGTTTAAAAATTATTAACAATAAAAAATAAATAATTTTCTATTTCAAAAAAAAAATAACAACACATTAAAAATTTCAGCGAAAAATAAATTTAAAATCTTATTATTTGTATTATATAAAATATTTTCATTAAAAAAAAAAATAACTTTTAAAATTTCAGCGAAAAATTATTTTAAAGTTTTATTCCGATTAAGTAAAAAAATGCATATCTGTTCTAAATTTTCTCGCTTTTTGGGATTAGAAACTTAAAAAACTTTAAGACTTAAAAAAATATTTTAATTTGTCAGAATGTCCTCAAATATGATCAACAAAATTTACGCCGTTGTAAATAAATAAGTTCTCTAAAATATTACTGAAAAACTTTTCTTTTTAGTAAACCCCAAAATTATTTATAAAATAATTAAATATTTTAGTATTGATATTTTTTCAAAAGTACTTTATTTTTAAGCCTTTTGTTTGAGTTTTATTAAATTCAAAAAAAATTTAAAAATGTTTAAACAACTTCTTTCATCTCCAGAAACTCATCATCACCATACTGGCATTCATTTGTTGCGTCGCCGCTGACGTCTCACACTTATCCGGCTCGTACTTGCCACCCGTACAACCTCAACCTCAGTATCTGCCACCTGCACAAGAGTACTTGCCTCCTTCTCAACCGCAACCACAGTATTTACCTCCCGCAGCACCAGAGCCACAATATCTGCCTCCTCAACCACAATACTTGCCACCTGTCGCGCCACAAGCTGAATACTTACCACCTGTTGCACCACAACCTCAATACTTGCCACCTGCTGAACCTCAACCACAATATCTGCCGCCTGCACCACAGTACTTGCCTCCTGCTGCTCCAGCACCTGAGTACTTACCACCTGTTGACACACCTGTCGCAGAGGATGGTTACCGTTACAGAACCGTGAAGAAGTACCGTTTGAGAAGCCACTAAACTCTCGTGGTTGTGTAGAATGTGAAGAAGAAGTTGTTAAAGATTTTGTTACTGGGTTTCATAATCGTTTATAATTCCCGCATGAAATACATACATATTGTTTTTGTTGATTATTTTCTAAACTCTCACGAATTTATACATTAAATTTATTTGCACAAAGAAAAAAGAAATACTTTGATTTCTTGAAATATTTCTCCTTTAATTCACCATACCTTTATATATACATAAATACGTTGGAAGACAACGTCTTAAGTATGCCAAAAGCTAAATGAAATTCTCTGAATTAATTGTATTTCGCATATTCGGTTCACATTTCCTTTGCACTTTTTTAAGCTGAAACTTTAAGCTGCCTTTCTGACGTACAAAAGCCTCAGCATTAACTCCCACCTATGTATATACTCACATACGGTAAATAACAAATACACATGTCCCCACTACGTTTTATACACTGCATTTCGACTATCAACCCAATTACCAGTCGTCTTGTATGGATTTTATTTATCTGATCTCTGCAGAGAAGTATACATTTATGCGCAAAGAGAAGCTTCGTCTAACCAGCACCCTTAAAATTCTTAAACCAGCTGGTAGCATAAATAACGCATGTCACAAAATATTAGCCATTATCCGGAAGCAGCTATTCAAATGCTTGTAAAAAGCAAGCACAGAACAAAGCAAAGTATTTAAATGCAGAGAGCAAAGAGAGGATAAGAGGCAGAAAAAGTAGAAGTAGAAAGAGAGAAATGTTCGTACTTCAAACCAAAACGAGCAACGCCTTATAAATAAAGAAATCCTATAAATCGCACATACATATGTCTATATATATACATATGTAGATGTGTCTAAGGAATATCTGAATATGCAAAATAAGGCTTACTTTTTTAGAAACGTCTCTATTGGAAACTGAAAGAGCATAGACAATCCAAGAAATGCGATTGCTAAACAACGCTTTTACAAATATGTAAAATCGTCTTTGAATTAATGTTCATGCTGATTTATTGATTACAAGCACTCGTACCACAACATAACATAATGTTTGTATATAACATATTTGCGAGTAAGGTGGTGAATTATTCGACTATGTTGTATTCACCTTTTATTTAGTTTCTTTGCTGATAAATTTTTACTACAAAATACCAAATATGATATCCTTACATTAAAGAACTTTTTCTGGGAAACGATACCGTTTGAGAACTAAATATAAAGCTTTTTCCACATGTCTATTTCGATTTACGATAAAACCAGAAAATTCAAGCGAGACGAAGTGGACTCAAAAATTCCAAAAACGCCAACTTACAAACTAGTGGACCCAAATGACAGTAAGTGTAGGCTGTCCATTTGAACTTTAGTCATCGTTTAAATCAAATAAATATCATATATATCAACGGCACTGCAACCATATATGGTTGATTGGTTTCCATATCTCGCACAAGGCTCACTCGGGTTGCCAAGATTAGTTAAAGCCGAGGTCAATCTTTCCCGAAAAAACATTTGGAAAACCGGTAGCGTTCACCATTTTCACCTTAGACAAGGGTATAAATATGGTGATAGTTTACAAATATATAACAGAAAATACACACTAAGCGATGGTCAGTAGTTTTGAATAAATTGGTATTTCACTGAACACGATTATGGCAACTAAAGCAAGCATGATACGCATGGTTTCCCAGTAGAGAAAGCAATGAATCAAAATATTTACGCAACATCTAATTATATTCTATCTAATATTATTACGTACTCATATCTAACGGCTCTTTATATTCTATCAAAGAAAATTAATTTTGGTGGGGTTATAACCATTGGAGGATACCTCAGCAAGGTTGGAGCATATAGGATACGTTCAAAAGTATTACTAGGTATTTATCTCATTAAAGGATTGGACTGATAATGACAGTAAAAAATTCTCATTTAGTTAAAAGTCTCACAAGTTCTCAAAAGAACCAATTATTTGCAGATAGAAACGAGATAGTTGTTTGAACCAAGAAGAGGTCTACTAATGCATCGGAATCTTCAGCGTGTAGAACATGGGTCTTCGTATGTCTGTCGCTTTCCGATCAACTGTATAGTATTTAGGATTATTTCTGGTTGGGAAAGTTGTAATCATTCGACAGTTTATCTCACATTAAAGTATACGGAAATTGGGAAAGGATTGGTAAGAGAATTCATTGATAGGAGTTATCCAACCACTGTAGTTCTAGGCTTATAGATAAGTATAGCGTTTTTCAATCAGAAATGGCTACCACTAAGTTAGTAGGGGAGCTTCTATAAAGAGGTGAGTAAGTTTAAAAGTCAGCTTTCACTCCCCAAGAGAGCAGTTCATTGACTATTGTGATTAGCTAAGCGAGTTGAGGCTAAAACCTTTCTGGGTGTTAATTGAAATTGTTTATAAAAAAGACAAAGTAAAACAGCACTTCCTTCTTGCTGACCTGAATTTTTGTACTCACATAGGTTTTTATATAGGTAGCTACGCCACCTCTTTTACTAACCGGTTTAAAACTGGTATGTTACTATCCAAAATATGTAGATTGAAACCTGGAAGGCATCGAAAAGTAAAAATTACTAGTATGAAAGAGAGACAAAAATCTAGTTGTTACCAGTTCTAACGTAGTTTATAACCGATTAATTTTACCGCAGGGTTATTGCATTAATATACAAGAAAAAAGTTGGTCATAAGAGCATTTCGAACAAATGAACAACGAATAAGCGAGTCAACTCAAGCATATTTCATTATTTATGTGCATTGAATGGAGCTGTTTGTAGCATTGACAATGAGTAACTATCGCCGACGAAATGTATACGAGAACGTCGCCGCACGAACGAATGCACGAGTGCGAGGCAGACATATAGTGACTAATGTTTAAAAGAGCAGAGAAGGGGAAATGGCTATCATTTGGACACAAAAGCCGTATAACCACACAAAGGATAGATGAAAAAACAACAAAAACATGGCGCAGTTTAACTGTAGAATATACTTGGCCACATGCAAAACAACAACAAAGCCATAGGACAGTGGCAAAGTGTCAGTGCATGCATTTGTGAAGGTGGTAGGGGTATACATGTGGACATGTAATTTGTGTAAAGTATGGAAACCTCTCAAGAAATTATATATGCCTTTATGTGTATACTATATATACTCAATATATATATTTATTCAATAAAAAAAGTGAAAAGGATTATACCCCCGCTACTCGGCAGAACAAATCGTATATACTTCACAGGGCGTATGTGAATAGCGGTAATGCATATGGGGTAGAAGCTCATATATAGACAACATGTAGGTAATGATGTGAAAATTAATTTGCACAGCCACAAATGGCTTGACAGCCAGAACAAGCGTAAAAGAAAATCTATTTATTGTCGGCAGATTTATTTACAGTATTTATTAAGGTGGAGTGTATAAGAGGTTACACTTCTAATAGAAGGTCTATTTCCAACAAAATGATTAATATCCTTGTCCAAGGATAATTGCCTGTTATTATGTAAATCAAAGTGTCGTAAAATCGTCGCCGCCGGTAGAAATCCTTGGGTCATTGTAACAAGTGCTTTTTGTTATTGCAGCTAATCTTTTTAGATTGAGTGGGGTGTAAAATAATCGCAAATGGGTTGCAGGCAGGCAAGTAAATGCATAATCCATTATATAATAATAGCAATTTGTTACCGCTAAGTCTCATAGTATACCATAAGAAGGGAAAAAGCAAGTTTGAAGAATATGTGGTACCTCTGCGGTATCTCAAATCCATAGCAAATAGTATTTAAAAACTTTCGAATCTGTTAGGGGAGACCTTGAAATCTATATAGAAAATACCTATTTTGAGTTATAGTAACAAACCCAGCATAAAGCTTGAGAAAAAACATCTTTAGTTAGATGTTTAAAATTTGGAAAAAATTCTTCGATTCTACATGATTGAAACTTAACTATACTCAGGTATGAAAACTAAAATACTTTCGTATACGATCACATGTAATGCCAAATTCAACGAAAGTCGGTTCCATATTTTTTTGAGGTACGAATCTCCAAGCAATTAATAATTTGAGGGCGGTCCAAATAGTGTCTAGCCACACCTTTTAATGGCATCATCATCGTATGGGTTAAACGACTTTCAAGTTGGTTGCACGCCGGTTTTTGAAGAGCCACGTAAAGGTGCACCAAAATAAACTATCTCGGAGGATAGCGCATGATGTTGGCGATTGAACGGTTAACTAAGATATTAGAGAAAAAGGTATAACACGTAGCTCATAAGCTGCATGAAAGGTTAGACATGAAAAGGCTGTTGGCGCGATGGATGCAACGTTTACGCATTCCGGGACAGCAAACCTAATCGTAAGACGATTCCACAGCAGCTTGCTGTTTAAGTGAAAGAGCTTCATTTTGTGACTGTCGATGAAATTAATCATGCTGCCCAAAAGAGACCAAATAACAATCGAAACAGTGTATTTCACCGACGAACCCGCCCGAAATTGAATACTATTTTATCGACCGTAAAAGTGATCGTTTTGTGGAATTCAAAAAGTGCGATGAACTGCTTAGAGAAGGGCTGCAGGGCTCGAGCTAAGAGGAGCCTAAGTTGAAAAAAATGTATGTTTTTCCAAAAGTATAGTTTTTCGGCTATGTCCTGCTTGGAGCACTCTCATATACTATACCGAATATATTTTATTATTTTTTTCTTTTATATTCTTTTCCAGAAAGCTCTTGCATTTTTTTTAGTAGAGTTAAACAATAATGTTATATGCTTTAATACTTTCTGAGGCACATATAATAAACCTTTTAAGCGCTGGTTTCCATGCTAAGCTTAATTATGGCGTTGCCATATGGTAAGAAGGCATAATTCGGTGTAAGGAACATCTATTAGTATTCTGTTTTTATTTTTTTTACAATTTACCATATAGCCAAAAGAACTAAACAAAAAAGCTAGAAAAAAAATTTCGCCCTTCATTGTATAAACAATTTATTATAATAAAATAATTGTTAGAAAAAATAATTTTCATAATAAATGTAATTAACAAAAAAAAAAAAACAAAAAAAAAGTATCTGTAACATAAAAGATCAGAGATGCAGAAAGAAACCGCATTTCGGCTAAGGAATTACAATACCCGCATGCTTCTATTTGTGCTGATATAAAAGTGAATGCAAG